CCCTGCGCACCTCCACGCACCTCGCTACAAATACACTCATTAGCTGCTGTTTACAGCGGGCACAGCACTCAGATGAGCGCAGCTATTACGGCAACCGTCCAGCTGCCACCCGTACTGCTCGGCATGTAGGTACACACACAGCACAGTGCTTCTCCCCACTGACCCCACCCTCCCTTTCCACCAGCGCTATGGCCCCACACACAACCATGGTACACGTTGGCTCTGAGCCCTGCCCCACAGGTGACACACCTCTTCCGAGGGACCTGCCAGGTGGAAGCTGTAGCGCTTCCCCCCTCGCCCCCCGCCCCAGTACAGGCCTGATGTGCCAGCCCAACTTCCAACCAACTGGGTCCAGAACGCCAGGCGCCAGCTCTGGGCGCCGTCCAGCCCCTTCCACAGGTCCCATGCTGTCTGCCAACTCTGTTTCAACCCTTGGGGAATTCTGCTGGGTGAGACCAAAGCCCTGCCCTCCAGACACAAGTTGGACAGGGCCCAGCAAGGTTGCCCCTGCTGCCTGGAAGGTCAGGGACTTCCATGTCCATGGAACTGGCACAGTCCGCCTGGCACCACTGGCCGGGGTTCCCTGGCAAGGGAGGCGGGCACTAGGGTTGGGCCTGGCACAGGCTGGCTCCGGCACCTGGCCAGGCCAGTGACCGCCCCAACAGAGAGAGCTGACCTTACCAGCCGCCTGTGCCACCTACCAAGCATTGCCCATGGTGCAGGGCACTGGCTCCACGCGTGGCTGCCTGTGCCCACCTGGGAGGCCTCAGTGCCTCTGTGCAGTCGACTCCCCTTGCAGCCAAGAGTCCCCTGCGTGGGACTGGGCCTCCCCCCACCCCCATGAGTCCCCCTTCACCACTCCTCTTCCAGCTTTTCGGGCCTCACTCCCCTGGGGGAAGCAGTTATTGAAAACGGTCCATCAGATTCAATAAGAATTCAAAGTCCCTGAGAGAATAGGGGGTGGGCAGGGAGTGGGGGTGGGGGAAAAGGAGGGGGAAACCACCCACTCCTCCTCTGTCTTCCTTAAAGACTCTCTGCAGTAGCAGGGCTGGAGCGGGGAAGAGGACAGCCCTCCACCGGCACTGCATGTCGCCTTCTGTGCCCCTTGCCTGAGCTTGGGATCAGCCAGGGGCAGGGCCCAGCTGCCCAGGGCCTGGCCTGTCTTTGCTCAGCTGACACCCACCTGTTCCCCTACCTTCCAGCTGTCCCTCACCTGTCACCTGCTGGCCTCTGTCTTCCCACCCTAATCCAGCCTGTTCTCATCTCTCTTAACCAACTAGGAGGGGCTTTGAGGCTATCTCCCTCCCCACCATCCCACAGTCCTTGAGCACCCAACCCATTGATCAAGCTGTCCCCACAAGGCCACCGAACGGCATGACCCAAGGCCAAGGGGTCCTGTCTGTATGAGAGACACTCTAGCTTGGGAGCACTGGCTACCCTGACCCAAGTCCCATAGAAGCCATCCCGCCCGCCCTGCATTTCAGACCTGCTCAGCCCCAGGCACCCCTCCAGGCCATGGCCTGTTGGGAGATCATTTGATCCTCAGTCCCAGACTCTGACCCAAGCCCAGGATGCAGGCCAGGGAGGTTCGGGCCTGTGCAGATGGAGCAAGTGGGGGAGGGAGGGATGGATGGGTAGATGATGGTGTGAGGAGAGTTTGTCAGTGAAACAGTTAGACAGTCAGATTTCCTTGGACTATCCCATACCCTAGCCCTGGTCCCTGACCCTGATGATCCTCAGAGCACACCCCTGTTCTGCCCTTTCGGCCATACCCCTAATTCCTGCCCCACACATCACCCACTGCCCCTAACTTGCCTGGGCAATGTTGTGGATCCTTCTGCCTTGAGAAAAACCTACACTGCCAAGCCCCCCGACCCATGCAGTGTGCCCCCCATACTACCTATGGACAGGAATGACCTGCCAACAGAGCTGCTGTAGGGGGCAGAGCTCACTAACAGGTGGAACAGATGAGACCTCAAGCACTGCTGCTCCCAGGGACGAGCTGGAAGAGGGCCGGGGCAGGGCAGGCAGCCCTCAGGACCTGACTTCTCGCCCCGCACTGCTGCACAGGCCCAGGCCTTCCCTCTCTGGCCCTGCTCACTCGGCTCACCGCAAGGTCACCTCTCCCTCCCTTCTTCCCTGCTGCCGTCCTGCCTGCCCACTGCAACGCTGACCCCTGCAGGCCTGCCGAGGCCCTGCCTGGCCTGGGGACAGGCACAGAGGGACACAGAAAGGCCTGGACAGGCCAGCTTCGGGAGGAATGGAGGATGAAAGCGAAAGGCAGGGAGGGGAATCTGTGTCTAGGGAAAGGGGCAGAAGTGAGTTTGCAGGCACGGTTGGGAGAGGCTGGGCAGAGTTTGGAGCAGAAGAGTCTGCATTCTTCACTGGGCTCCCGCTTTTTCCCATAGTCCCTTGCTTCAGCCTTGATCTGAGAGGGTACTTCCTGGGGGCTAGGAGCCCAGGCAGAGAGGGAACTACCTGTCGGGTGAGGGTCTTAGCAGTAGGCTGAGCCCTACAGGGACTTGTAGAGTGAGTGGGATGAGGGTGGGGGTAGCACAGGGACCCCAGGGAACCAGCCTGGGACATGGGGGAGCAGGAGAGGACAGGAAATTAAAAGAATGAAAAGGATTGGGCCACAGGTGTTCCTGGGAGTGGGATGAAGGCATTAGAATATAAAAGGTGCTGGCCCTTGGGGGACCAGAGGAGCTGGCCTGAACAACTTGCATATCTCACTCCCACCTGGTGCCAGACAAAGGAAATATGGGGGAACAGAAAAGGGGGGACATATAGCCTTGGCTAGAAGAGCAGATTCTGGGGGGCCTGGGATGAGCTGAGGGAGAGGGGAAGTCTAGCCTGTAGCTGTAGGAGTTATAGGAGGTGGGCAGGGATGCCAGGGGGCACAGAGGCCAGAGTGAGGTCTCTGGCCCCTCAGAGATCCCCAGGGGACTAGGAGCAAAAGCAGACCCTGCTGTCTGCAGCCTATGACTGACCCCACCCAGCCCAGTGCCCCCACCAGAGAGTAGACCTCAGGCCAGCCTGTTTCCCGGAGCTGCCCCTGCCATGGCACTGGTGGGCCCGGCAACTGCAGTGGGAGTGGGCAAGACAGGCGTCCACCCCAGACAGGGAGGCCCATTTGAGGGAGGAGAGGGAAAGCTCTAGGGGCTGCCAGCACTGGACTCCAGGCCCTTTGCCCAGGAGATGCCAAGCACATCAAGTTGGCCTCCATGGAGAAGGCAGAGGTGCTGGGAGGAGGGGTGATGTCACGGTACCCAGGGCTGAAAGGGAAGGAGGGGAGAGAGGACAAGGGCACGGCCCCAGGCCACTGGCCTAACACGAGAGGGAAGGCTGCCAGCCTGGCCACGCACGGGGAGGAGAGTGTCCTTACTGCATCCCCCCTTCCATCCTCATCCTCCAGAGCTGGTCTCTGAACTGAGTAAGCTATTGGCTTCTGAGAGGGGGATCCAAGCACGAGAATGCCTCTGCCCTTGGTCCAAGTGCTGAAGCTGGCAGCCCTTTGGGAGAAGATGCCAGGGTAGGTGACCTGGGTCCAGACAGATGAAGGGACAGGTCTCCAAAGGTAATGTCCCTTTAGTAATCACCTAGAGGACATTCATAGGTGGGCGTGAGGGTCTAGAGAGGGAGGCTGAGTCTCTTCCACCCTTATACCCAAGCACTGAGTGAGTGCAATGCCTGGCACCAGTAGGTACCCTTCAGTGTTGGGCTGCAATGGCTTGACTGGGGTGAGAGCAGACTTTTCAGGAGTCAGGTACAGGTTGAGGCTGCCCCAGAGGGAAAGAGCACAGCAGGCGCCCACTGGACTGCCCTCAAAGCCTTGGGGCTCCAGTCCCTTCTGTGGAGGGTCTTAGAGCTGTGCCTTCCCCGCAACACCCCTGCCCTCAGGACATCTGCAGCAGTACGCCCAAAGGCTCTCATGTGGGAGCAAGTCCTCAGGCTGGGGTGTCATGCTTTTAGCACCAGAGAGAAACCCAGAAACTGAGACCCTGCTGCCAGAACTGGCAGCCTGAGGTGCTGGGTCTGGGGTGGGGCACCCCAGGTGGGAGCTAAGACTGAGCCTGGCAGGAAATGCAGAGGACCTGCCTACAGGTGGGCACTGCCAGAAGAGGTGTCGTAAGCCAAGGAGGAGATGGCAGAGCAATTGCCCCAGGAAAGAGGAAAGGTTCCTGGCTTGGCTTTGAAGATGCCAGGATGCTGAGCAGACGTGGGCTCCAGGCCACTCCCCCGGCTCCAGCTCCAGAGAAATGCAAAGAAGCACGGCCCCTCCCCCTCCTTCCCTGGACAGGACTGGAGTGAGTTTGGGGTGCTCGGCTTTCCCCCTCCCCAAGCCCAGGAGAAAATTCCCCTAGCACCCCCACCCCCCTCGATCTCAGCCCTTTCCCTTTAGGTACTCCTGCCTCCCTCCTCAACGCTCCTGCGGTCCCTCCCCAAGCCCCCTCCCCTGCTGCTGCACCAGATTCCCACTTGCCCCCTGGCACCCTCTCAATTCAGTTGGCACCGCCGATGTCACTCCGCTTCCCTGTGCCCACAACCTTGGTCTAAAGCTGCCCGCATTCTTGTCCCAGGGTCCCCCAGCGCTGGCACCCTCCGGGGCACTGGTGCTGGGGACCCGGGGATGCCTCTGAAGGCACTGCCCGGCTCCTGCGGGGGCAGCGGCTCCTCGCTCCACCACACACGTTGTCCTTGGGCTGCTAGGGGCGGGGGGAGGAAGCCCTTGTGGGGACACTGCGAAGCCGGCACCGGGCATCCAGCCTGGCAGTGCCCTGACTGCGGGGGACTGGGGTCTGAACCGCTGCCGTTCAAGCCCGCGCCCCGGGGCTGGGATGACCCTGAGAGGGGGTTGTGTGTGTGTGTGTGTGGGGGGGAGAGTCTGCGCGGCTCTGGCGGACAGCAGCCCCGGGCTAGGGCTCCGAGACGGCGCCCGGCGCTGCCGCCGTCCGGCCCGCCGGTGCGGGGCGCCCCAGCCCGCGCGGGGCCGCGCTTACCTGGGCTGGCCGCCTCCGGGTCCCGGTACATGGTCCCCTCGTCGCCGGCTCCTTCCGGGCTCCTCAGAGCCGCCCGCGGCCGCGCGCTGCTCCGCCGCGGCTGCAGGGCATGGGGCCGGGCGACCCCCGGGGGCGGGTCCGAGGGCGGGGGCCGCGCGGGCTGCACCGAGCCGCGGAGCCGGGGCCGCCTGCACCCGCTGCTGCCCGCTGCCGGCCGCGTGCCGCACTGCAGCCCGCGCCCGCCGCCGCCAGGAGCCGCCCCGAGGGCACCGCCGCCGCCCTGCGCCCCACCCGCCCGCAGCTCCCGTGGGGAGGGCACGACGCCCTCCAGCTGGGCTCTTCGATCCTGCGGATGCCGCCTCACTGCGCGACACCCTCGGCCCGTGCGCTCCGGGTGACAGCGGCTTCGAACCCGGCAAGGCCTCAGAGCCCGCCACCTCCTCCGAGGTGCTCATTGACTCCGCTTCAAAAGTCGTGGAAATCCAGTCCATGTTTTCCAATTGGTGGCGGCTCGAGGGCGTCAGCTCGGGATTCGACACTAAGATGGTCTCGGAAAGGCCGGCTGGTGTGTGTAAAAACCAGGAATGGATTTTTTTGCCAGGCTGAGACTGGATCTGCTACCCTGGCCATCCTCAAGCTTGCACACAAGTGGAGCCAAAACGTCTAGGATTGCCACCTCCCTGGGGGACTAGCCCTAGTGACCCTAACCTACTTAATCCAGTCCCACAAAAGAAGAAAACAGACTTAATAACCTGTGCTCATCCCTCTCCCACAAGGCTGGCTCCTCTGCTGCCCCCCTTCCCTGACCCCAGTGCTTCACTGGGTAGGGAGAAAATCCCTCCTTGCCCTTTCAACCTTGGGGCTCTCTTGGCCCCTCTGTACCCATCTGTAAGCTCAGCTTAGTCCAAATCAGGTGAACCCTAATTACTCTCTCTCTACCAAATTTGAACTGCTTGGCTCTGTGGCAGGGGAGAGAAGGGGCTCTTCTCCCAGGCATTTGAAGGGCTTGGAAGCAACCCCTTGGTGGTTTCAGGTACAGAGCTCTCCCTGCACACACCTATACACTTAATCAATGACACCACCGTACCACCCCCCACCCCCACCCCCCGCAAGTATACACAGGCACACAAACACACCTCCCACACAAGGAGATACAAACAGTGAAGAGTCACACAGCACAGGGCCTACCCCTACTCTGAACTGAAGGGGGTTGGCAGGAGGGTATAACCTCAGGTCTGCCACAGGGTCCCTCCCCTCCACTGAGAATGAAGTTCACAGGTGAGCCAGGCTTTCCAGAGTCAAGGTTTCCTACTTCCACCTTGAGAAATCCACTTAACTGATTTTAGACTGCATAGCTCACACCCAGCTACACCTCCATCTTCCCACAGCGCAGCAGGCAGCCAGCACCCACAAGGACAAATCTCCATCTCAAGTCTCCCCCAACACACACACACACACACACACACACACACACACACACACACACACCATCCCCTTGAACTCACATGGAGCCTATCATACACACACGCACACACCTCCACCCACAGCTTTTCCGGTTGAGAAACAGATAAGGAAATTCCTCCAAGCAAACCTCCATGAAGACTGTTCCGGTAGAGAACAGATTTCCTTGGATTGAATGTTCTAATTAAAAACGGAAGGGAAAAAAAAAAAGCATTTGTAGGTTCCAGCCCACTATTCCTCCGTGGCCAGATATCTCAGCCCTCATCCCCTGGTCAAGGGCCATTACCTTTCATACACCCACATGCAGCCAATAATTCAGGAGCTCTCCACACACCCCTTTTTGGCAAACCTCAGAGTCTCCAGCCTGGCTTCTTCCTGCTCCTCCCCAGCGACCTCTCCCATTGCCCTAGTAAAGAGCAAATAGTGTCCACCTTCCCCCACCCCTTCCATCCCCTCACTCCTCCATCCCCATCAATGGGCACCACACGGAAAGGTCCCCTGTTCAGGAATCTCCCCACCCATCAACCTGAGAGTCCAGAGACGGACAACAAAATTCATCACTGCAACTCAACAGATCTTTATAAGCATCTGGCATCATGGAGTTTTTCAGAGTTGAAAGCGGGGAGGACAGCTGAGAGATGGTCTAGGCCACCCCTCAGGTGACAGATGGCAAAGACAAGGCTTGTAGAGGGAAAGGAACTGATCCAGGGAGCTAAAGGCCCCGAACTAACAGCCCAGGGAGCTGATGAGAGAGCCACAAGCGGAGTCCTTGGCCCTGACCCCCAGCCTTTTGCCAACATGACGGTGAGATTTGTGAGAAGACCCATGGTTGCTCCCATCCAAGAGCTTACAGCCTGTCCCTTACAAAAATAAAAGTCCCATCTCGTTCACTCGTAGCAGGCGTTAGACAACCATTGATCCAGAATGTCAGAGCCGGACTGTCCTGCAGAGACATACCAGATAAACCCCATGAGATACTGTTGTGGAAACTGAGGCTCTGGGGCATTGGGAATCTTGGGTGGCTTTTTATTTCCTGTCTGTGTCACTGACACAGGAAAAGATTTGAAGATACTCTTTCTCTGGGCCTCAGTCACTTTGTCTTGGGGATCCAGAGTATTTGGAAAGAGTGAAAAATATAGACTTGTATGGTTCTCTCACTCATAGCTATGTGACCGTGGGCAGACTACTTGACACCCCTGGGCTTTGGTTTCCTCATCCACACAATGAAGATAATAACAGCACCTATTTCATTCTACTATCATAAAGATTAAATGAGATGATACAATTAAAGCACTTAAAATGATACTTGGCGCATAGAATCTATTGCTAGGTATTGAATGCCATTATTGTTATTTATTTTTCTCTAACAGAAACACCACATAGTCCCCATTTCCATGTTTTGCCTGTCAGGGAAGTTCTTCCAAATGTCTCACCCCGAACCATTCTGCTGCATTTGAAGGCTATCCTTTCCGGCTGCAGCATCAATGAAAGCCAAGCCAACTGTGAGTTCTGTCTTCTGAGCACGCATGGTGGACTGGGCACAGGCAGGAAATGAAACCTGAGGGAGTGAGCAGGGCCTCCGGGGGTGTGAATCATCCCTGTCGTGCCCTCAGATCCTGTCCCTCACAGATGAGGGCCTGAGCTCTTGGTGTTCTGCCTCTCCCCTCCCACCCCACAACAGAGGGGGGCCCAGAGAGGTCCTGTCATTCTGTGATGCTGGCCCCTGTGTCCTGGGTTCCATGACGTAGCAGGAAATGCTGGCAGCACCTGGCTCCTCAAAGACTGCCACATTGCATGCTGTGGACCCCTCAGGCCTGTTTCTGATCTGGTGCTGTCATCAGGGTCCAGGGATCCTGGATCAGCTTCAGGAGGGACTCAAAATAGGGAGGGACGTTCTGTCCCTCAGGAGCAGATGCCAGGTCTGCACTCTTCTAAACAGGGCCCCTGAGGCCGCCTGGCTCTGTTGCTAGGCCACAGCTGGGAGGCAGGGCTCCTGGGTTTCCCTCTGGCCTCTACCTGACATGATCTCCGACGCGGCTGTTCCCCACGGCTCCTGTCCCCTCTACCCCACTCCCTTGGCTGAATTATTTAAAAATAAAAGTGCTGAGGAAGCTGCTTGTGCAGCTCATGTGACAGAACAAACATACCTATCTCCTTGCCACCATCCATGTGGCAAAAGACTTAGGCTGAGCATTCGCTTGATTCAGGAGGGACAGGCTCAGAGACCAGCCAGAAGGCAAAAACAGAGCCCGATGAGGTGCCAGTAGCAAGGACCTGCTCTGCCACCCTGTCCCTATAGCTACCCCCTGTCCCGTCTTCCCCTTCCTCCTCTGCAGAGGACAAGAATCTAGAGAAAATAAAAGCATAAAATTCATAGACAACACCTCTCCAGAAAGGATGAAACAACAAACTCTGAGAAGCAGCTTCAGCCGTCTCTATGCCCACAATGGGTATTGAATCAATGCTTGCTGGTCAATCACTTCTCTCCAGACCCAGTAGCCACAAATCTCGAGGCCCACCTAGGGTTCACACATGTCACACATTTGCCCAGCCCTGCTTTAGAGGCCTGATACTAAAGATGCAGGCATGGCCCACAGCATCCATGGAAGAATCTTAGACTTGAACTCTGGGTCTGCCTCTACCACTAGCTAGCTGTTAGGCCATGGCCAGTTAGTTACTTGATGCCTCCGGGCCTCAGTTTTCTCATCCATAAAATTGGGGTTATAATTACACCACATATTTATGTGAGAATACACTGGGGAGATGGCAAGGCAAGGACTGGATGTCTTTCTTTTGTCCCTGAGGGTGACCCCAGGCACCAAGGACCCTGCACTAAGCAGACCTTCCACAATCCTGGGTCCCCATTCCCTATCCTCAGGCCATATTGCAGGGACAGAAACATTTTCTTGCCAGAAAACCCTTCCCCCAACCCTAGCTCACCCCTATCTTTCTCCCTGTAACCTTCTCCCCAACCAGATTCTGGCCCTGAGCCTCTCCATGGTCAACCTGACACCCCCATGTGCTTGACTTGGCCCCTCAAACCCTCTGCCACCCCAAAAGATGAAAGCTGTTGCCCCTTCTCCTGACCAGCCCCTGCTTGGGACAGTCCCAGACTCAGGATATTGGCCTTATGCCTCTGTTTTGAGACACCCGCTACTTTTTTCTCAGTTTTGGGCAACTCTGGGACCCTGAGGCTGACCGGGAATCATGGGACTAGAGACTCCCTTATCAGGATGCACTGTGGAAGCACCTCTCCTTGTCAATTACAAGCTGAGTGACCTGGAATAAATTGCACAACCCTCTGAGCCTCAATTTACCAGTCTGTACCACAAGGATGTTGGTGTTTAATCTTGATTTGGCTTTGGACTACTTTGGGAATCTAATGAACCCCATGGACCTCTCCTCCCTAGAAAAATGCGTATACAAATATAGATACATTTTCTCCATAATTGGATGGGGGAGTCTTACAGGGTCCAGATAAAAATCCCTAGCCCAGAGGCCTAAGTGGCTGCTACCAGTCTGACTGTCTGAGCCTGCTTCTCTGCCCTACTCACCCTCCACACAGTGATTCTTGGGTCGTGCTGCAGGTGGGCTCCTGTTCTGTTCCCACCATTTCTCCCTCCTGCCTCTGTGGCCCCTTCTCCCAGCACTCCCTGCGGTTGCAGCCAGCTTGCCAGCAGCTCAGACTCGCGTTTCAAACCCTCTTGGAGCCCATTG